AACAACAACAACAACAACAACAAAACCTTACAAAACCATACACCTTAAATATGTGTTATTAATCATATGTCACTTACACCCTTAAAGCAGTTAAAATTTGTACTTTAGCAGACACTTACAATGTTGTATTTCTTTTCATGATACTCTAAAAACCCGGCTTCTCCAGAGCAATTCCTTTATCTCTAAAATAAATATTATTCTGTAAGGAAGCTTTTGCTATTCTTTCTTTAATCTGAGGCTAGCAAATTTTTAAAAAATCAATCTGCAGACTTAAAAGGGTTGTTATTTTGATCTTGAGAGCTATTAAATAATTCAAAGTGTGCCATGAGATCTATGATGAAAAATAGAAACTGAGAAGTAATTCCACATTGCTTCAGTCAAGTGTCATGAAGCAGAGTGGAACACCCCCTCCAGGACGTAGTGAGGAGATGCAATGAAAAGAGTTAATAGCTGAGAAATATGGATTCTAGCATTTTCTACTTCAAAAATCTTTTAAATTATCTTCACTTTGGTTCCAACTGTTAAATTGAAGTAATAACAACTGGATTAAGTACCTTAAATAATGTATGTTGTTAGAGAAGTGGGACCACTGATTTGATATTGTCCTCATTACTTTATTCATATAAGAGAAAGTAAGTTGCTGTTTCTGCTGCAAATTTGCTCTGTTATCGATTCCTCTAGGGTTCTTCACTACAGACACATAAGTGTATTTAAAACATTAGGCCGGGCGTGGTGGCTCACGCCTGTAATCTCAGCACTTTGAGAGGCCGAGGGGTGTGGATCACCTGAGCTCAGGAGTTCAAGACCAGCCTGAATGTGGTGAAACCCCATCTCTACTAAAAATACAAAAGTTAGCTGGGCATGGTGGCGCACACCTGTAATCCTGTCTACTCAGGAGGCAGGAGAGTTGCTGGGAGGTAGAGGTTGCAGTGAGCTGAGTAGCACCACTGTACTCCAGCCTGGGCAACAGAGCGAGACTTCATCTCAAATGAATAAATAAAATAAAAAATAAAACATTAGATGATTAAAAGTCATCTAACATTGTTATTTCATGTTTATAGTTTTTCTTCTATAACTGCTTTGAAAATTAAGGTAACTGCTAGGGAAACTTGTGAATACCATTTCCTGATAATTAATTTTAGATGTCACATAATTTTTCATTTTTAATGGCTTTCTTGCAAATAAAAATTGGACCATAGGTCAGAAAATGGAATACATTAAGCTGAACCTTTTTAAAAACTTGCAGTCATTTATGCAAGGGAGAGTATTTCTCAAACCTGAAAACATCAGTGCTTTACTTCATGTAGAGTCAAATATGCCTGTGCATTGGCTATATAAGGAAAGATGATAAGGGGCTGATAAATATTTGTGTGTACCAATAGGTGTTCAGTTGTTTGCAATGCTGTTTTATAGTATAAAGAGAAAAAGGTAAAACCCCATTATAATTTTTGTTTACCTGTTCTAAGTGCAGTCTAACCATTATCTGGTTCATAGCCTCTCATGCTTCACCTATGGTTTAGAAGAATATTGGAATAAAGTATTGCTCACTTTTCTTGTTTGTTCTTGGCATCCATATATAGCTTTCATGGCAGGTTCCAGGTTAGTGTTTTTACTGATGTTTCTCCATAGATCACAAAACTGGGATGTCTCCTAGAGTCAAAAGAAAGCCACTGCAACAGACTCATTGAAGAAAATGACAAGTATCAAAGACATTTAGGCAGCTTAATAAAGAAGGTACACATTTTTTTCCTTTGTTTTTTGAGATAAGATCTCACTCTGTCACCCAGGCTGAAGTACAGTGCAGTGCTAACTACAGCCTCAATCCCCTGGGCTCAAGCAAGCCTCCTACCTCAGTCTCTTTAGTAGCTGGGATTATAGGCATGTGCCACCACTCCTGGCTAATTTTTAAAAT